TTATCCAGAGCAACTTACAATTGAATCATTTTACACAGGTAGGCGAAGGTAGTGTTAGGAGTCTTGCCCAAGGACTCTTCCTGAGTATAGTGTGGGGTGCTTACCCAGGTGGGGATTGAAACCTAGTCTACAGTGTAGAAGGCAGAGGTGTTACCCACTACACTATACCATCCACTGCTGTATACTGCTCCTCTCTGTTGGACAGAGTTACTCAAAAATGATCATTTCCTGCTTCAATGTCCTCATCTAATTAAAAAGCCCTAAATGAGCTGAGCCAGCTGTTTAAAAGCAAAGTAATCACCAAAACACTAAGGCTTGGTCTCCTGGACAAAGATTAAGCCTCTTTCTCAGGGGCAAATTTAGGCATTGTGGGGCCCCCAGAATGTACATTTGTGAATTAGTGACAAATGTCTGCTTTGAAGAAAACGATCATGGCAAATGAACTCATAAATCTAGCCGTTATATCTAATATTTCTCATTGTGTGATTGCTGGAAGAATATAATAAGATTATTTAACTTATTTAATAAATAAAAAAAATATTCAAAATAATAATTTTAGTAAGTGACCTTATCTCACTGTACTCACAGATCATTTTGCTTGTTTTAAGAAATAATACTCAAAACAAGCTAAATTATCTGCCATTTATCTATCATTTTCCAGGAAGTAGTAAATAACAATCTCATTACATTTTGAGAGAAAATATTACTTTTTTGAGTAAAACCCCAACACTGGTGATCCTTGTCTGGGAAACTGACCCTAAATGACCCCTGTGGCCCTCTGTAATAAATCTGTGACCAGTGTATGGCACCAGAGACATGACACAGTTTTAGGTGAGTCAGTCGATAGTAATATGATGACATACATGACAGACATAATGCTTATAAATCATAATTAGACCCTTATAATTAGACCATCTTGTTAAAAGCTTCACAGTTGAACAAGCTCTCCTCTATTATTTATCCTCCTTTATTATTTCAATTAGCTTAAGCTAGATGCACTATATACATTACATGTGTTGCATTCAAAGTAACACTGTTTTTCTGTATTGCCCCTGTCAAATAAACAAATAAAATAAAATAAAATAAAATAAAATAAAATAAAATAAAATAAAATAAATCTTGGTCAGACTCTAGATTGGGTCAGGCCTTTAAAAAATGTGGCTCATGAGCTTTTCCACAGGAGAAGGCAAAAATGTTTTTAGCTTTAATGCAAGCTAAAGTAAAGAGGTTTTATTCCAAGTAATTTTGTACCTTGCAGAAAGTACCAAATGAAGCATATTTACAACCATAACTGCGACATCTATAACACCACTCCTGGTTCACTGATGCACATGTTCTGTGAATGTCTTAAAGTATTACATTTATAGGCTTTATTAGGAACACCTATTCTATATCCACACTCATTGTCCATTTTATTAGAATTAGAATTTAAAAACTATATGTTCTTCAAAATTGACACTATCAATACTTGTTTATTAACTATTTTAAAATCACTGCATAGCATGTTGCAAACATGCTTATCAGACAAACTCTAATGAGGACCACAATCAACAGTTTCTTTACAAACACTGAGGTTTCTGCTAAAGCCTGAGTGGACTGATAAATCAATGTGATAAGCCAGTTAATTATCTCAGTATTAATGAAAAGGATGATCAAACTGAACAGACTGCTCAGTAGTGGACATGTTCATATGTGATACGTTTAGCATCGGTGTTGTACTGGATTCTTGTTCAGGGAATTATGGGAGCAGCAGTGGACTGAAGCAGGCAATGAGAGAGAAAAGAATATGTTAAGAATTTTCATGAATTCATTTATAACCCCATTTCCAAAAAAGTTGGGATGCCGTGAAAAATCTAAATAAAAACACAATGCAATGATGTGCAAATCATTTAAACCCTATATTTCATTGAAAGACTTCAAAAACAACATATCAAATCTTGAAACTGAGAAATTATATTGTTTTTTGAAAAATATATGGCCATTTTGAATTCGATACCATCTACATGTTTCAAAAAAGTTGGGATGGGGGCAACAAAAGGCTGGTAAAGTTGTGTAATGCTTAAAAAAAATACCTGGTCGTTAATTGGCAACAGGTCAGTAACATGACTGTGTATAAAAAGAGCATCCCAGAGAGGCTGAGTCTTTCAGAAGTGAAGATGGGGAGGGGTTCACCACTCTGTGAAAGACTGCATGATCAAATAGTGCAACAATTCAAGAATAACATTTCTCAACATAAAATAGTAAAAAAACTTTTGCTTTTCATCATCTACAATACATAATATCATCAAAAGATTCAGAGAATCTGGAGAAATCTCTGCATGCAAGGAACAAGGCCAAAAAACAGTATTTGCTGGCCATGATCTTTGGGCCCTCAGGCAGCACTGCATTAAAAACAGACCTGATTCTGTACAGGAAATCACTCCATGGGCTCAGAAAAACTTCTGAAAAACACTGTCTATGAAAACAGTTTGGCACTGCATCCACAAATGCTAATTAAAACTCATAAATGCAAAGAGGAAAGTATATATAAACAGGGTCCAGGAATGCTGCCTCCTTCTCTGGGCCTGAGCTCATTTAAAATGGACTGAGGTGAAGTGGAAAAGTGTTCTGTGGTCCGACAAATCAACATTTGAATTTCTTTTTGGAAATGATGGACACTGTGTCCTCTTGGCTAAAGACTCAGCTTGTTATCAGTGCATAGTTCAAATGGCAGTATTCTTGATGGTATGGGGTGCATTAGTGCACAGGGCATGGGTGACGTGTACATCTGTGAAGGCACCATTAAAGCTGAACGATATATACATGATTTGGCAACATGCCATTCACACAACGCCTTTTTAGGGGAGGCTTTGCTTTTTTTCAGCACGACAATACCAAACCACATTCTGTATGTATTACAACTGCACTGCTCTGTCTTAAGAGAGTTCGGCCGCTAAACTGACCTGTCTACAGTCCAGATCTGTCACCCATTGAAAACATTTGGCACATTATAAAATGAAAAATACGACAAAGGAGACCCCAAACTGCTGAGCAGCTGAAATCCTATATCAAACCAGAATGGGGAAACATTACACTTTCAAAACTACAGCAGTCGGTCTGCTCAGTTCCCAAACACTTAGTGTTGTTAAAAGAAGAGGTGATGAAACACAGTGGTAAACATGCCCCCATCCCAACTTTTTTGGAACGTGTTATTGGCATCAAATTTAAAATGGGCATATATTTTTCAAAAAACAATAAAAATTCTCAGTTTCAACATTTGATTTGTTGTTTTTGTACTATTTTCAATTAAATATAGGGTTTAATTGTTCTGCACATCACTGAATTTTGTCCCAGCGTCCCAACGTTTTCAGAAATGGGGTTGTAAATGAGAAGCAGATTTCTCATGAAACATATTGCCAGAATCATAGAAAGAAAACTGCCAACCAGTAGCAGCGGGGAACAGTGTGAATTAAGGTAAAAGAACAAAACGATTTTCCCATGTGCCTCATCAATATGTACTCTAAATGCATTCTGAATACATGATTTCTTTTACACGTTATAATGGAATATGTTACTGAATACATTTAGGACAGAGTGAAACTCTAGAGGTAGGTGTGTCTAACAGAGTGGACCGCAAGCTTATACAGTGTTTAGAACTGCAGCAACACTGCTGTGTCTGATCCACTTGCACCAGCGCAACACACACTAACATATCACCACCACATTAGTGTTGCGCTGTCAACTATCCACCACCCAAATAATATCTGCTCTGTGGTGGTCCTGTGGAGTTACTGACCATTGATGAACAGGACAAAGGGGGACAAACAAAATATACAAGCAGATGAACTACAGCCTGGAATTGTAGAACCACAAAATGCACCAATATGGTAAGTGGACAATGGGGGGACACTGGTACCAGAGAAAAAGGTGTTAAGTTCTTGCTTTGAAACCATCTTTGCCATCAGTGTTTATGTGCAAAAAAAAAAAGTTCAAAAAAAAAAATAAAAAAAAAAATCAGTGCAGTTTTAACTAGGGCCTAAAATAATTCACTTATTCACCAGACATCGAAGCAGTGCTGTGATCTTGAAGCTGTGGACGTATATTGGAGTAAACAGACTGGGCTGAAAGGAGCTCTGGCTCCAGTTCAACTCACAGCCTATGACAGGTGTGAGCTCTGCTGGCAAGTCAGTGAGCTAGCGAGCTGCATCAACATTATTGATATATTCATCATTGTAATTCATAACAAGATCTCACATTAAAAGCACTGGCCACTTTCTCCTCCTTCTGTCCAAATACAGGTAAAATTCATGATGTAAGTGTTTCAGTGGCAGCAGACCAGTAGCAGCAGACGGGATTGTTGCTACCACACTTTTTCCAACAGGATGGTACATCACCTCATTACTGTGTTGCTTTTCATGTCTACGGTAGCCACCAAACTTTTTTCCAGCAATATGGTACACCACTCCATTACAGTGCTGCTTTCCCTGCATATCTGAAAGTACAGTTTCCTGGGCACTGGCATGGACCAACTGTGTGACCATCTTGATGTTCAGATTTAAGCGCTCTTGATTTTTGGGGGTACTCTGGGGGTACTTAAAATGCACTCACTACTGAACAGGGTCATATGGAGGACTGTGCATATTTAACCTGACCACAACAGAAAAGGCATTTTCCAGGTAATCAGCATATAATATTACAGATATAGATTAGATAGATATAGATTGTTTTAGATTTTTTACATTCCATTCAACGTTTTAAGGGCAAAGTCGCAAGACTAAAGAATTCCCATAATATATGAAATAGCACTGAAGTCTATATTTTGTAGAATGCAGGTTTTAAAAACATCTTAAGAAGCTCATTAATTCTGAACCAACACACAAATAACTACCAAAATGTTCAACTAATAAGCTATGCAAATGTGCAGTACATTAAGAACTGGTTAAACATTTCTACTTCTTACTAGACAAATTAAAATTTTCAATAGGACACTGATATAGAGCATATGAAACATTAGGAGTCTGACAGATTGATTTAATATGTCTTCAAATAAACAGAAGCCAAAACAATTAATGCACGAGATTGCATATACTGTAAATGCCAAAAGCAACTGACAAGTGTAATTTAAAGCAAATCTTAGTTTTCATAGAAATGAATTAAAAAAAAAGCACACAAAGCTGTAAACTCAGTTCATACAGAACTCTTTAACTGCCAATGCTGGGCCAGTTTTCCAAATGGATCACAGCGCAAACATGATCATTGTCTGGTAGAATCAGCGCCACTCCTGAGAATGAGCACATATTCCAGTGACTGGAACACTGACATCTTAATGACATCTGGTTTAACAAGATAAGCCTGTCAAAATGTCTCATAAACACAGGTAACACTGTATATAACAGTGAAGGAAAAAATTAAAAAAAAAAGATCCTCCATTCTCCATCTTAAAATAATATGCATATATCATGCATTACTTAAAGTGCACGTTAACTGTTCCAGTAAAATATCTGTTGTCACAGAACTATTTGGTGAAAAGTTGAAGAAGATCATTTGAATCATAAGTCACCACTGGCAGCTGTTCCCTACCAATCTGTCCCTTTATTTTCAGATGCACAAACTTTATCTTCCAGCGGTTTCCATCTAGCGGATCGCGAATCAAACCAAACACTTTCTCGAAAATTCCAAGGCATACATTTTCCCGATGAATGGTTCCAGCAACTGCTACCAACACCAATCCATGAGGTGTAGAAAGGCACTTCAACCCTGAGTGCTCTAGGTTAGGGAAGAAAATTAACTTTTCTTCCCACACTAAAGCAGAAAGGCGCCGGCTGACCAGTTCTGCTCCGTTGTACTCGTCTCGCTGTTGTTCTCCAGTGTGGGAAACAAGGAGTAGTCTCACGTCCCCCCAGAAGTGCTGAGGTCCCCATTCCTGAACTGGCTTACCTGTCGCAGGATTCAGAGAGTTCAAAAGGTGGAAAAACCACTGGCAAAACTCCCTACCCAAAGCTGTTAGGTCTGCCAAACCATCTGGTCCCTCTGGTCGACTTGCACTGGTGTCACTCAGTGCGTTCTGTAAGGGGACGACCTACAGGGCAAAAACCATACATATTGATTGCTCTAGTAGTCAGATAGGTTCTTTATTAATAACACGTTTTTGTACCTACATTGCCAGACGACCATAATTCAAGAGTCCTTTTAACCAGCTGATGCTTCTCGCTGTTTGGAGGAACCACAACACCTTCTTTGGCGAGGTACTTAAAAATGACCTCACGGTGGACTCTTCTTCTCTTCAGCAGCTCCTCCGCGCTCTGAGAGTACGCTATGATAGCTTCTACAGCCTCTGTTCAAACAGGACAGTTACAACGGTTAGCAAACGGGTCTATAAAGCGTTTCTCCTCACTTTTAGTCATTTTAAACGCTTTCAACTATCTGCAAAGTTACTCAGCAGACTAAAGTTAGCCAGTCTGCACAGTTTGCCAAAGTTCACCAGCCTCACCTCTCGGGCTCTCTACACAGATCAGTCGGTTAGTTACGGTGTCACTCAGCGCTAACAAGTCTTCCGCTGACAGCAGTGCCAACAGTGTTCTGCAGCCATTCAGCTCTTTTTCCGACAGCGCTGACATTTTTATAGTAAATGTACAGCTATCATTGAAAACAGTGTCCAAATGGTGCTTACAGTAGAAGAAATGGAGACGCACACCATCTCTTCACTGGCGCCCCCCTGCGTGAAGGCGGATACAGCAGCAGCTCCAACCACAGAACCCGGCTCTGCTCTAACCAATCAACTCTCTACTTCAAAATAAAAGCTCTACTTCACAAGAGAAGCTCTGCTATCCTGACTAAAATAAATGGGCCACTGATGTCACATGAATGTCTGTAACGTCAGTAATATTTTAGACAAGTAGAAACATGTTGTAGGCAGGCAGGCAGGTTTACCTGTTTCCTGCTTAGTTTATAAATGATCAAAAGTAGACTGTGGGAGACAGATGTTCAGAAATGTTTGTAATAAACATAATAATAATTAACAACATTTTTTTTCTTAGCAAGGTAAGTCTTTCTAAGAAATTTTGTTTTTCTTTTTTTTCTTAAGCACGTTGTGATCTGCCAAAATGGGCTTAAACAAATGCTCATCTCTATGCTTACGTATGCATGTCCGAATATAAAATATAAAAATTATAAAAAACAAATAACCCCTAATTTTTTAAGAAAGAGAAACCAAAAGTTAAACGTTTTGGATGGAAGTAGCTTGAAATGGTGAGATAATTTTAATTAGATACTTCATTTTATTAGCTTCGATAAAGAATGGAGAAGATAGTTGCACCGAATTCGCAAAAGAAATTGTACCAAACCTGTGGAAAATACCGCGGTGCTCAATTTACATGTAGCCGTAATTTCACCAGGCCGACACTTGAGGGCGGTGTTGTAGGAGGAATCATTCACATCGTTCGCAGCGACAGCTGACAGTTTTGTAGGCTGTGAGTTTGTGGAAGATGGGCGTTTTTTACTCGGGGAAGGTGATTAGCACTGTGGGATGGCTCCCTCTCGGATCTAGAGCCACTCCCAAAGCCTGTGGACCCGCAGTCCCGTCCCGACTGACCGCAGAGCAGAGCCTCACTGAGAGCTGGTCGAGAGAGAGAGCGAGAGAGTCCCGTCACTCTGAAGGGGACAGACTGTAAAGACTGAAAAGTCGGGAAGGGACCGAAGAGCCGCTTTTCTGATCTATAAACTCAACTGGATGTTGTATTTCCCTCCAGGAGTGGACTAAAAAGTATTTTTCATTCTAAACACGAGGCAAGTTGCATTTTCATTCAAAGTTTTTGTGCCATTTTTATTCAGCCCAGCGCTGTCCCGATTGCAGAATGTGAAAAGTTAGTTTAAGAAGTGTGCACGATACTTTACCATGCAGCGGCAGGGAGGAAAATAGTAAGGAAGAAAGGAAAAAAAGAAACCATTGGTTTAAAATACAGGAGGTCATTCATTCTCTGAAAAAAAACAGCAGCGCGGTCGCGCGGTCATTTTTAATCCCCCTCAAATACGTTTCAGGGAACGAGAAGTGTAATTCAAGACGCTTTTTGGTAAAATATGCGTCACATTTACCATGTTTTGTGGACGTTTCTGCAGTCGGTGTGATGTTGGTTGGTGAGGCTGCTGTGTGAGGAATGCCAGAGGTGGCAGAGACAGAGACAAAGGGCCTCTCCAGCCAGCCAGCTCCTTTTCTTCTCAAGTGGTAGGAGGAGACAACTTGGTTAAAAGTTAAAGCTGAATGCTTTTCTGGTCACTATCTTTTATTTATGACCATAAAATGATCTGCTACCAAGAAGGGCCGCTTATTTTGGTAGTCTGGCCTCAAAGATAGAGCATTAAAGTTAATTTGTGGGCTCCTTCATTCAGAGCACGCAGATCTAATTACTGCACAGTTCATTATTTCAGTGTTTTGTGGATTCTCTTGTTGTTTTCTTTAAAAATCCTGTTCTTTTCGCCTCCTGAATGTCTTTCCTCACCATATCTAATGTGTGGAAGCTGGTCTTAGCAAAAAAGCAGCTGCCAAAAAATGTACGTTTTCAATGTGTTTCAGTAGTGCCGGTGAGCTGACACAGCCACACAGTTCTTCATTTCTTTTCCAGCCCTGATTTTTGAATCCTAAACTTCTAGGGCAGAGCTCCTGACTCTTCTTTATGTGCACAATCCTCTGCTTATGCTCTCAACAGCAGATCCATTGAGGAGACTCCTGGTTACTGATAACAGTGTTATGTCTCGTAAGAATACACTCTTAATCAGTGGATATCAGTTTTAATTCATCTCCTTTTCTGTTGTCTTCACAGTTGACCTTTTGGCTGTTGTTGGGTAACAGTGAGAGACAGAGCCTTCACAAGAGAAATGCATGCATGTAATAGATACACTCTTTTTTCACTCTGGTGTGCTTTTGAAAGACAGGACATGTACTGTATGTAGTCTGCCTCAGTAGAGTGTCCTTTTGTGTTGGTCACGTTGCACAGCACTATCCTCACTCAGGATACAAGCATTAGTCCACCCACTCAGCACCTACAGTGGTGCTCTTCTCAGGAAAGGTGCATTGTAGATCACAGCTGATAAGAGAACTACGTGCTGTTTGCAGTGATGTAATACTTATTTAAAGACATCATGTTCTAAAGGTTGGGAAGGTGGTGAGGTTGACTTTTGGCAACACCCACCAAAGCAGAAGTGCATCAACAGTGGAGTTTATTATATAGTTTCCCATTTTTTTCTTCATCGATTCGTATGGAAAACAACTTGAGAATTAGGTAGATGTTCATTAGGTAGAAGTCCTACCTCTGTGAATTACGAATCTATCCCAACTCTATGTCTGGGCAAAACAAATCCATGCATCAGCACAAGCCACTAGTTTTAATGGAGATTGATTTGTAGTGAGGCTGCTGGCACTGTTCCGAAGGTTGTAAGTGGCCTGCGATGCTTAGTCCTGTTTTCCAGAGACCCTCAGGAGATGGCAGTTGGGGGACTGGGTGAATTAGCCCTAAAGGGGGTGGAATTCATCAGTAATTGGCAGTCGCTGTAAACATGGGCCCATTGCCAAGCAGGAGGAGTGATCCAAATGAGGACACCCAGCTTTTCACCTTTAAATATTTCTATCCACATGGGTGTCTGGTGAACAATAGAGACTAAAGTGGATGAACTTTTTAAATCTCACATGTTCATGGGCACATCTTGCCTCGTAACATGTATGCACAATTTCTAAATAAGTCTGCTTAAGTGAGTTCTTTCAGTAAGTCATCTGATCACATTGCTTTGGCAGGGAGTTCAAGAGCAATGCTGATGTAAGAGAAGATTTGAAATCTTCAGTTTGCGCCAACAAGCGTGAAACTCAAAGTGGTAAAAGGGAAGATTTCTAGCCATCAAAGATGTCAGTAAAGTAGCTTTAAAGGGGAATTCCACAGATTTCTCAAAATGAAATGGTTAAGATGTAAACAGATTCATTCAGAGTAGTTTGATGTGAAATGCTCCATTCTAGAGAAACTTACAGAGTCAGCATTGTTTACAATGGTGGTAACCAATGTCTAAAGAGTTTGAAGCCTATATAAGCTACTTTACACAAACTTATTACATGAAATGGTTATAAATATGTTGGCTGTTGTCTGAGACATTGTTTCATGATAGTTTTACAAAAAGATTTTGACCTAAAATATATATTTTTATAATTAATTCATGGCAGAGGTGTAAGCAGGATGTTGTATGGCAAAGTAGTTCCCAAAGAAAACTTCATTTTTCAGAATTACCACTGTTACCATTATCAATATTACAAATATAAAAAGACACCTCAGAGGATTTGTGTAGCTTCACTTGTGATTTTGGTTAGTAAATAAAATGTTTATGCTTGCATTGTAGGCATTGCGACCCCTGGTTGCCATCACCACCACTGTAAAGAAATCGATACGTTTCTCTAGAATGGAGTATTTCACATCAAACCACTCTGACTGACTTTGTTTACATCTCAACCACTGAATTATACCAAAATTTTGAACAATGGTTCGAATTTTGTTTTAAACCAGGGATGCCTAGCAGGGGTCCTGGAGGTCCAGAATCAGGCAGTTTGATGATTTCTCTGCTCAAACACACCTGATTCAATTTGTCAGTTCCGTTTGTAGAGCAGGAAAATCAACTCACCTTGCATAACCAGAGTGGGGTGCTTTACACTTTCATGGAGATCGAGCCTCTTAGGAGTATTTATAGATTGACAGAAATATTTAAAACCATGTTGATTTACAGCCCTGTACAATTTGAATGATGTAATTGTGTCTATATAAATAAAGATGTAATTTATACAGTGATTATCATAGCCAATGATTTTCCATAGCCGTGACTCAAAAATTGGTTTTCCATTGCATGAAAATGAGGTGGTCTCCTGTATGGAAATCGTGTGAGAGTGACTCATGATGGTGGCAAACTTGGACATAATCCGTGACAGAATACTCCGGATCTTTACTTTTTTATCCTTCGCTTGAGACAGATTGGTGCTAAGTGTTTAAAAGGGGGCCAGGAGATTTGATTGAGAGATGCGTACGAGTCTGCCGAGTCAGGCACTCGTGGGACAGTGGAAAAGTCAGTCTTTGAGAGTTTACCCTGGCAGTGGGACGTGCTCACATAGCAGTGTTTCAGGTCACTGAGCAAACTTGCCAGTCCTCGCAAATAGCCACAATAGCTGCTGCGCCCTTCTAAAGCTCTGGCTCCACTGCACCATTTGGAGCCACTTGTAATCACCACAGTTGCCAGCAAGCTAGGATGCAGTCTGGCTGGCACTTCATTCTGGGGTTTGCACTCAATTAAACCCCATTATGGGCAACAGTATCATTTATGTGCTTCATCTGCAGCACCCACTGCAAAGCAGGCAGTTTTTCCATGCATCAGTGTAGGGCAAAAGGCAGCTCAGATAAGATAATATACTGTAACTTTAATGTACAGGAGTTTAAAACAAAACAAAAAAAACTTTCTTTAGCTTTTCCTCCACACTTAAACACAGGTCATGCTGTAAGGTGTTGTGCACTGTTTGATTTCTAAGTCACATACTGTTCAAAAATTGCTCAAGGGTGAGAAAGGGGAACTTTTCCTTCACCTAGCCCATAAGTGGAAAATCACACATGGCCCAGCTCCAGGAATTCTAAATTATATATTATTCGTGTTGCTCTCAGGAAATTAAGGGCAGCTGCAAAGTTTTGGATAAGAGCCAATTGAGATGTGAAAGGTAATGCAATGCACAATCTAAGCTTCAGTCCACTGTTTCACATGGAGGCTCGTTTTAGGACAAACTTGTAGCTAAAAATAGCTGGTCTAATCTGACGGATTTATGTCAGTAGCTGTCTTGCATGAGTGTGAGGACTGACAGTAGATGCATTATTTAATGCAGTACAGCTATATCCAATTATTAGAAGTCATGTTTGACCTGAGGGAGTCTGTATGACAAGTCATGTACAGTAAATCCCTTTAAGCATGACCAGTGCTTGTTGTTTTAAAACTTACCGTTAGGGTTAGGGGCCAAGATCATGACTTGGCGCTAATATTCATAGTGTGCTTTAGAAAGGTTTGCAGGATTTGGGGAAATTTAGAATACTTTTCTGTAGGGATGTGTTGATGTGAATTGTGGGCCGATGCTGTTATCAGCCGTGTGGCAGTTTTCATGTACATATCTGCAGATGCTGATACATAAACATTTATGAAATGTGGAAATCGGGTCCATACCTACCTGGATTAGCATTACGGAGAACTATAGTATTTACTTCAGTAGGGTTATGAATACAGTAAAATTATTATGTAATGCAGATGTTTTTGCACAGTAGCCAGCATCACCTAAACATTCTTCTTTTTCAGAATATAATCTGTCATATTGCGTCATATCAATCCGAAGTATCAGTTTGTTGTCGAATGTGCAATCAATATGATTCCGATATGATTCCTACAATTTTGTGCATCATTATTTTTCTGAATGGTGTGGAAAAATTTGAAGAAATTACATTTGAACTGAATATATGACTGTGTTTCCTTACTTTATAGCAGCATTGTGTACTCTTTATGCTCTGTGCTGCAGGCCACAAACGTTGTGCAATCTGTTTTTAAAATAAAAAAAACCCACATTTAACATTGTGGAACATAATCTATTTTTGGATTTTGTCAACATTAACAGCAGTTTTATCTTCTAGTTCTAAAGATGCCAGTTCCCTGCTAGCCCACTTTCCTGGCCAAGCAGGGTAATCTCTCTCTACTTTATCCGTAGATTTCAGCTACTCTTCTTCTAATGGATTTGGTAGCCAGTGCACGTGCCCAAGCACTTTCTCTAACACAGTTACTTCACTGGGTGCCTGTCAGCACCAACAGAATCTGGGCTACTAGGCTACCAGAGCAGCGTCAGCTTCTTGCGACAAGAATGACAGTGGTGATGAAACCTAGTGCAAACATGCCATTAGTACTTTCTGCTCAGTCATTCTCCCTCAGAATCTGTCTTCTGTCTATCTCTGTCTTTAATAGTTCTCTCTGTTTTTTTTACTTTCTCTTTCTGTCTCTCTATCATAGTGTTCATCTAATTTATCAACACTCTGTTTAATCTGTTTGATAAAATAATTCACACATGACCTGAGGCTGCTTCCAGTTTATCACTGTCAGCTCCATAATTATGCAAAAATTGCCAGCAGTCATAGTCAAAAGCTTATTCTTTTTTATGGAAATGATGTGCAAATGCAGTGTAGTAGCAAAGACCCAAAACACTGAAATTAAATAAATCGGTAGAATGAGACGTTTGGACAAGCAGTGTCCAAACATGTTTTGAAAAAGTTTTTTGCGCATGAGATGTTGAACAGTATAAAGGCCACAATTTAGGTCAATTTACGAAACAGGTGCATTTCTGTACTCACACAGTATTTTAAACAAAATGTATCATTTCAGTACAAAAGCTGCCTTTTACATTGTGTGAACATTCATGATGAATGCAGCAGTAGATATGTTTTAAAACTACTTGGGATCACATCTCTTTACATTGACTCACATTAAAATTAAAGAATGCTTTTGCCTTCTCCTGTAAAATGATCTGTATCTGTGTCAGCATCTGCAGATGAATACATGAAAATATCAAATGACAGCATCAGCTTAAAATTCCGATATCCATTAAGCCTTAATAATTAATAAAAAGTTAATTCTTCACTATGCACAGTTACAGTTTTTCTCTGAATATCACTACATCACAGTGTCACACTGCATTTCTATTCCCCTGATGTTGTAGTAATGAAATAATGTTTTCAGAATTCTGGTGTAATGAACTAGCAGTCTGGCACAGTATTGGGTTTCTCAGAGTTCTTGGCATTGAGCTGCCCATTGCCTTCATAAAACTGGTCTTTAATTATGAGCAGTTACTGCTTCTGTGGGTACCCTTTAAGTTCTGGGTTGAACTCTGTATTGTCTTCACCTGTTGCTAAGCTACAGTTATTGCCATGGCACAAAGCATTAGGCAGATATTAGACCAATATTAGCATTTTAACAGTTTGTTCAAACGTAACGCAGTAGAGTGGCTGTCAGATGGAACATGTTAATGATTCATGAATGACAAACAGTGTCAGGAGCAATAGTTAAAAGTGCACTGGGATGAAAAAAGGTAGTGTATTGATTATGCAAGTTTCCTTTTCCCACTTTTACATAATGTCCAGTATGTCCTGGTCCTGATTGGGTGAGAGGTCTCAGGGAAAATGTAATGTTTGGGAGTTGTTAATAGTGCATCAGTATTGCTAGTTTGCTAGTAAAATTCAGAGCCCTTTGGCTAACCCTGTGCTTAACTGTTGTCATTGTGCGCCGCAGATTAAGATAAGGCACATTTGTGCAAGAGTAATCTGGGATGCTGATAAGTTGTCTGTGGTGGCTCAGCACCTTGGCAGCTGCAGCTGTTTGGAGTGTGGGGCAGTTGTGTCAATGACAGTGCCCAGCCCCCCAGTGCTAAACCCTAGACCCGTTCTTAACAGGCACCCTGCTGATGCTATCTGGTAATCCCCCACATTCACAGACATGCTCAAAGTCAGTGTGAGTTGTGTTTTTAGACAGATTTGACATGATGCACGCACAGAAGGACTTCCCTTATGTTATCGGCAAAGACCCATCAATGCTGTAACTTTTTTTTTTTACTGTAGGTTAATGATTTATCTCTGTTATCATCTAGACTGGGAAGTGATGGGGTTCTTTTTGCATGGTGACTTTTGCCTAGATGTATTGTCACTATCACAACTTTGTAGCTTTACACAACTTTGTTAACATTAGCATAGCAAGACCCTTTTAAAGTACCAGCTGCCTTTTACATTGTGTGTGTGTTTGTGTGTTTGTGTGTGTGTATATATATATATATATATATATATATATATATATATATATATATATATATATATATATATATATATATATATATATATGAAAATAATATGATGATATGCAAATCATGTAAACCTTACATTCAATTGGAAAGTTGAAACTTTTAAATTTTATTATTTTTTGAGAAATATATGCCCATTTTGAATTTGATGCCAGCAACACAATCCAGAAAAGTTGTGAAGGGGGCATGTTTACTACTGTGTTTCATCACCTCTATTTTTAACAACACTCTGTAAGTGTTTGGGAAATTTGGAGACCAACTGCTGTAGGTGGTATGAAGGTGGTAGGTGGTATGTTTTCCCATTTTTGCTTCATATAGGATTTCAGCTGCTCAACAGTTCGAGGTCTCCATTGTTGTATTTTTTGTTTCATAATGTGGCAGATATTTTCAGTGGTGACAGGTCTGGACTGCAGAGAGGCCAGTTTAGCACCCAAACTCTCTTACTACGGAGCCATGCTGTTGTAATATCTGCAGAATGTGGTTTGACATTGTCTTGCTGAAATAAGCAAGGCCTTCCCTGGAAGACATCATCTGGATAGCAGCATATGTTGCTCCAAAACATGGGCATGTTGTTCAGCATTAATGGTGCCTTCACAGATGTGTAAGTCACCCATGCCATGTGCACTAATGTGAATGATTTTGAACTTTAGCTGATAACAAGCTGGATGTTCTTTAGCCTGGAGGACACAGTGTCCATGATTTCCAAAAGGATTTTCAAATTTTGATTCGCTGGACCACAGGACACTTTTTCACTTCGCCTCAGTCAATCTTAAATAAACTCGGGCCCTAAGAAAGCTGTGGCATTTCTCGATCCTGTTTATACATGGTTTCTTCTTTCCATGGTGGAGTTTTAACTTTCATTTGTGGATGCAGTGATAAACTGTGTTCACAGACAGTGGTTTTGTGAAGTGTTTCTGAGTTTCTGATGCTCTTTTTATACATGTTCATTCATTCATGTTACTGACCTGTTGCCAATGAACCACCAGGTGTTTTTGTTAGCATTACACAGTCTTTGTTGCCCCTGTCCCTACTTTTTTGAAATGTGTTACTGCCAACAAATTCAAAGTGGGCATATATATTAAAAAAAAATACAATTTCTCAGTTCCAGCATTTTATATGTTGTCTTTCTACAATTTTCAATTAAATATATGTGATATGATTTGCGCTTCATTGCATTCTGTTACCATTACCATTTCAGAGAGAGAATCCTTTGTTACCATAGTAACAGTATGAAGTTTTATCGTAGTATGTCAATGTTAGTTTGAAGGCTGTAGACTGGTGGAGTCAAGCAACAAATGATGAGCATGACACCTCGCCATGGCCCCTTTGTTTTATTAGTGCACAAGCAGTTAGCAGTTCAGTAAAGCTGGGTATCAAGGCTGTGAATGGAGCAGGGCCTCCTTTTATCTCATGTACATAGAATCAGGATTTGTGGCCAAAGGAGACTAGTAAAGAGGTTGAAAAATTGCCACCCCCAGCAGTGTCTTTGTGTCCTGTCCACTGTTCACTATACGCTTTATGGGTTACAGTGTAAGGTTTATGGTTAGAGATTACTGCTGAACTTTCTCATAAAGAATAGGTAAACATTTTCTTAACACTTGCATTCCAGACTGAGTTAGTCGTTTTTGCTAAATTACAGTTTTAATTCATTTCCAGACCCTAAACATAAATGTCCAGGGAGTAGGCAGGGGTCAAGAGCAGGGACAGTGTTGTTTCGTTACGTAACTCCCAGTGGAAATTCTGAAGTCTGTAGTGTTCTGAGCCGAGCTAAACAGACTGGTTGAATAAAATGGCCCCTGTGGCCCAAAACTACTGCTGTGCAAACATGTTTTGTGAGTTTATTTGCACTGTGGCCCTGTTTAGAACTTGGACAGCTCTGTAGGCATTGCCTCTAGGATTATTGCATTGCTGTATGTAGAACAAATTTAAATTCAGTTATAATGGCATGAGTATCTGGGTCAGCAGGTCTTGCTGTCATAGACATCTGATATTTTTTTTCTTCTCTGCAGGGGGCAATCATGTCCAAAATGGAGGTGAAGACGTCACTTCTCGACAACATGATAGGGGTGGGCGACATGGTCCTTCTTGAGCCGCTGTCAGAAGAAACCTTCATTGAGAATCTACACAAACGCTTCGAGCACAATGAGATCTATGTGAGTTCTACAAAAAGTTATATAAGTTGATTTTCCTTAATATCAAGTGCAAGAGTTATAATATAATTTATCTAGTGTTATTATTATTATTATTTTTTTTTTTTAAAGCAGCACTCCGGATGTGTTTGCTAAAGCATGCTGAGTGCTGCAGTGAGAGAATACTGATGGTCGAGAACAAAAAAGGATACAAAATCATCAGTTCTGTAAAACTGATGAGGCTGAGGGATGCAATGCTACACTACAGAATATTGCATGACATGACAAATACCGTAGGCCAGAATGCACCTTTAATGACACAAGTTATTACTGAATTTGCACCAGTGTTTTTCATGTATTGAAGAGAAAATTAGACCTTAGGTCTTGTCTTGCAAACAAATATCTGCTTGTTCCTCTGCACTCACTCTAAACCCCCCTCCATCTACCACATCACATTAGTGCCTCTAAGTTTAGCTCTGGTCCCATTCACTTTGTACAAGTATGTTTACACTGCACAGTGTAGAGTGAAATATGAGAGCGGAGAGGAAGTGGACATAAATTAGCATTCTTTCATTGTTCTGTCGTTTTTCTCAACTTGTACCATTCATTTAGATAATGTGTTTAAAGCAGAGGCAACGGAGAAAAACCACAGACCAGCCGATCAATGAATTAGGTTGAACTGGAATGTAGAAGCTGCTTAAGAGAAGCAGTGTCTCCAGAGTGCAGCAGGAGAGGGAGGAACGAATGACCCTGCGGTCCTCTTTCTTTTAGAGATAGTGTTGTGACTGTACATTATAACAGAGGCTTGTAGGCCCTCTTTTCAGCCTCTCCTTTATCATTCACAACCAAAATTGCTCCAGTTTCATTGCTGCTACTTCATCTCCACTCTAGTTAGGTGTGTCACAATCATAAAATTTTATTTGGCTCAAATAAACAAACCTTACTCTAAAACCACTGACCTCTAAATGTGTTGCAGCAATAACTCGGAAGTTAGAACTTGTTTTGTAAGACTCATGATGTGTCTCAGTGTATGCAGGAAAAATGCAAATAAAATTTGTTTTTTTTTCAGATGTGCCATTATTTTTCCATTATCAGCATTATGTATAAAACTCTTAATACCCGTGTAGGTTTACTGGGCATTTTGGACAGTAAATAGAATGGCTACATTTTTGCAGTAGACATCATGACCCCTGGTTCCTATCACAACCACTGTAAAGAAATCAGTCAGTAAGTTTCTCCACAATGAACCCTTTCGCATAATTTCAAATCTGAGTCACTTTGATGAATGACTAAATGACACTGATTACATTTCGATTGAATTATGTAGAAATTTTGAAAAATCTGTATAATTTCTCTTCCACAACTGTGGAAAATAGTTGTGGTCAGTTCAAGTAATTGCTCAGCTCAAAAAATTGCAATCAGGCCTGTATCTCCAGTGTCAACTAAAGTCAGAGTCTGTCTGAGGTATTCAGGTAGATGTCTCTGTTAGAACCATCTGTTCTCAAGCAGAACATTAAGATAAAGATTAGCATGATTCAACTGCTGAATGTAGGATGATACGAGTCCAGTTGCTCAAATGGACTGGCAAGAAACTTCCCGGCTACTGATACTTTTAATCTGAACGTTTACTTTTTTTTTTAACCAGCTCAATGTTATTACATATTTGGAGAATAGTAAGAATTACTTGCTCAGTCAGGCTACAATATAGTGTCTAGAAGAAAACATGGGCTTTTAGTCTAGTGATTGAAAACATGAATGAAGTGTTCCGCATAGTCAATGACAGACAGATAATGAGAAATTTGCTCTGTAATTATGAAAGCAGGGAGTGGCTCACCACCTCCAATGTTGTCCAGCTGCAGAAAGCTTTTAACGCAGCCTGTCTACAGCCTTGTACTTGATGCTAAGCCCTAAAGCTTCTGATTTGCTAAAATGTTCACTGACTACAGTGTGTAACTTGAAGTAAATAGCATTTAATCTGGTCTGGTTTGGCCACCCACTAATCCTGTTGGTAATTAGACAAATTTAGTCATACGAATAAACTTTCATTTATGATTTAATTGTAAGACCTGTAGGTTTGACCTCCATGTCAAGGTGTCCATGAACTTACTGCCATCCTTTTACCTTAGCTTTTCTTATCTGATCTCACTGTCTGAAGGGAAAGATTGAGAAAGGTCTTTTTATTTAACAGGCTGGCCACAACTGCAGTACATTTCAGAGCTTATCTAATCATTCAGCTGTTATAGAGTGTTACAGGAGATCTTCAGTCTTTGTCAGTCAGTGATAGGTTTCAGTAAGTCGTAGAAATGGAATTACGCATCAGAGTCCTTGAATTTATCTTGAACCCTAGACTTTGATCATGTATTTCAGTTGCAGATAAGGACAGTGGTTTAAAATGGCTATTATAATGGTTTAGTGTCCTCATCACTACTTGAACGTGAACAAACCCGTTTCTTCTGGCGTCATCCATTCATAGCAGTGTCTTGTGGTTTTAATGAGTAACAGCTCCATAATGCCACATTATACACCACCAGCTAAATTTAGAACGCATTTGAATGTTTGTACTAGTCTTTGTCTCTCTAGTGCAGATTACCATCAGTTCTGGGTTCCCTCAGCTCATGCTATTGTTAACATCATCTAAAACACCCAGAGAAGTGAAAAGATGCCACTGGTCATTATGGGAAGTAGAAAGAGATTTGTTTCTTTCACTTCTGGATAAGAATAGGATCAGCTAGAGATGCAATTATGTGATGTTGTCCCTTACACATATCAGGTAGCACCTACACAATGGGTGCCGTCTATGTTTCTAAATCCAGCACCTTCTATTTTGTTTTTTATTTCTGCATGTAAAGACCTCATTATGCCACCCATGTCCACTCAACAATAGATTGTGGGCTGTGTTGCTATGGGAGAGGCCTCGCACTTTAGCTGAGAGGCTTATGCAACACCCAATATAATGGAAGGTAGGTGAGGCCTGCAAGGATCCGATATTGTTCTCAAGCCTCCAGCATAGTAAAGCTGTCCACCCTCTTTTATTTTTAGAGCCTGAAGTTTGATATAAATCTAAATGTTGCCAGGTAAATGACAAGATCTGCTCCTGTGAGTAGAATAATAATACATTTACTGTAGTTGTTAAGCCCTTCTGAAGTCCTGTATGACTTTAGTTCACACAGTTATCGCTAGTTGCAAATTGCTGTCTGCCACCTGACCCATCACTCTGACACCGCAGCCCTTGCAGCTCACTTTGGGTCCGCTTGTCCTGCTGAAGCCCCCTTGAATTCCATACATTTTTCTATTGTGTTCCCATGTGCTGGGTCTTTTTGGTTCTCTGCATGCCTAAACAATACCCCAAGAATTTCCAGCTGGAAAATGTTGATGAGTGCAGAGTTCCGCTCACCTCCATGCACCGCTCCGGCACTATCAATGTTTATGTGTTTTATTATTTATTTGTCTAATTAATGTCTGATCTTGGGCCCTAAACTAGATGTGACCCTTCTGTCTCCTTATTTTTGTGTGTTTGTTGTTTTTTTGTTTGTTTGTTTGTTTGTTTTGTTTTGTTTGTTTGTTTGTTTGTTTTTTTAACTGTCTGATCTTTTGCTCTCTCCTACTGGCTTGAGGGCTGTTAGTTACTTGGCACATTTGATGGTGAATAGTATTAAAAGTTTTTTACAGGGATGCAATGTGGGAATTCCGATGCCGATATCCGTTATTTTACATGTATATATCTTTACATCTTGGGGAGGCTAAACTATCTTCTGTAAAAGCCACCACACACCAGATGCATTGCTTTGCACTGCATCCAAAAATTAGAAACTGTTGGTTTTACTGGAGATATGTACAGCTTTAAACTGTATTTAAAGTGTTTAAAGTGTTCTTGTAATACTTATTGCAATACATACCCTTATGATTGAAAGGCATTCAAGTACTTTTGACTGCTAAGGCAACAACCACCATCTTTAGTTTGTTGCATTAAATTAAACTATCACTGTGAGACTCTTTGTTTGGCTTTTAGTCCTGTTCTGGGGCTTACTGTGAAGGAAAATTAAAGATACACCATTATTTCCACATAGAAGCAATTGAAATCACTGTCTGTAGTGTCCACTTTGCCTGCATGAGTTTCATGTATGAAGTTCCCTACCTAAGTAGCTGCAGGATTTGTTTGGTGTGACAAGACATACTATCTCACAGGCATATATTTCTTTTGCTTTCCCCTCATTTCTTTCACACACTTTCCATTCCCTTGATTTGCAGACATACATTGGCAGTGTGGTGATCTCCATGAACCCCTACAAGTCCCTGCCCATCTTCACAGCAGACAAGGTGGAGGAATACCGCAACAGGAACTTCTATGAGCTCAGCCCACACATGTGAGTCCAGCCGTCTTTTTGTTCAGCCTATTCAAACATATTTTGTAGGACACACATTGTGTTATGTCATAAACAACAATGCTTCATTGTTTGCCAGCAAGATGCAGCATTAACCTCTTGCCTGATTGAAATGTCAAGTTTGTACTGACACTGCACACATTTTTCTGTTGAGTGGCGGACATCCGAAAATGTTTTTGTTCTTCTAGCACTATCAGCGTTCTGTGGAAGAGCACATAGAAACAAATACATTTTAAGATGGTAGATACTATGCAAAACTGTGCAAATATGAAGGGCAGGTGTGACCATGGGAAGCTTTCATAGAACACACCATGGCACGCCGGGTATGTTTCGTTGTCCACTATTAACAAATCAGTTTGTTTTGATATAAACCATTTTATAGAATTTCATTTCATTTAATTCTAATAGATAAACTATTGTCTCTTCTAGGTTTTCTATTATTTTGATTGTGAAATTTGTACTGCAGTTGTGTCTTTGATATCATCGCTGTCCAAAGAAAAACAAATACTCCAAAATGGTAATTTAACAGGAGAGGGGAAAAAAGTTCTTTACCTTTAGTATGAATTAATATGAAGAGATTTTATTCAAAACAGTTTTGGAGTATTTCTGTTGGTCTGTTCATCATGAAAATTTCACACAACATAAAGGACAGCTGCTGAGCTCAAATTATTATTATTTTTTGGACAGTGACAATATATTGAGTAATTGCTATGTCTGATGCATGTCTGATTCAGATGTTTGAGCCAATAAGCCCCTCCCTGCTCTATGTGACCCCTAAGATATAGGGTCCAGTTGTAGCTGGGGGAAGGGATGGCCTCCACGCTCCAGCTAATGGCCATCTGTCTCTCTAGAGTGGTGCCAGCAGACTGACAAGACTGCCAGAGTCAAAACAAAGCAGCTTGCTTTGTACAATTAGCCTCCGCTCTCCATAAAAATCAGCAGACGCACACTGGTGCTCTGAAAGATCAGTGGCCCCGTGCCAAAAATGATCCATGCTATATGACCCAGCAGGATTTCTGTCTTTGCCTAGTTCTCTGTTGCTACTTGTTCCCTCCCCCTTGTTTCTTGGGGAAGAATGATATATCATGTAGATTTTTGAAGAGGTTTTTACTTCCCTCTTTATTCATAGCTTTTGTAGCTTTCTTTTTTTCAACAAGATTCTATATTTATCGCACCTCAAACTAGCATTCCAAGCTAGCAAAACTCTCCAGGAGCTTCTGTCCATCTCCTGTTCATGTTTTCCCACTTACGACTAGCATTACCTCTGGCATGCAGCGTTTCTTACTCAGTCTCAGGCTCCATCTTACTCATGTGTTCCAGTCTTACCCCCTGTTAGACAGAAGTCAGGGTCAAAGCTCCCTCCATGTGTGATCCAGAGCCAGGCTCGGAGCTGATCCAAGGCAGCTGCTTTGGCCATCACGCCTGAGAAGCACAACTTTTATATGGCTCTAGAACTTTAAGCAAAGCCCTGGATTTACAGGCCTCCTGGGCCTGAGCATTACAGCAGCCAGGTATAACAGCCTGTAACCAGGCCATGCATGTTCCTTAAAGTATTTTTTTGTTACTGTCATGATTTGTGTTGTTGTTTACTTTTGGAAAGTGTACTTTTTGGTATGTTAATTACTTTTTTGTGTAGGTTCTTTACTCGTGCACTTTGAATACTCCTCAGGTAGGCGCTTTCTCAGCTTATGGTGCTTCTGATAAAGGGTAGTTCTTCTAGTTTGTTTTTTTTTTCTCGTGGCTTGCTGACACAAAGCTGAACTGTATTTATAGTCAACACCTCATAATCTGGGTGTAAACTGCAATCAGAGAGAGTAAGCAAAGAAGACATGTGGGCTTGAGCCAATGAACACACTGTCATGTTGTTCGAGTTGTATTAGTCACTTATGTGATGATGTCATTTGTGAAATGTTGGAGCTCTCTGTTTCAGTGTAGAATTTGCTTGGCAGAATGCGAGCGAGTGTTAAGTCTGCAATCCCCTGCTGGGAGACGTCAGTCTGGATCAAAGAAAATGATGATCGGCAGCATGATTATACGGCGCTGAGCTGGCTGAGCTAGTATTAGTGATATTAGCGAAGATTATTTAAAACCAGTTAGATCATTAACATTTGAAAATTTGTCCGCGAAGTAACAAACACAGTCAGCTGACCTCTTAACAAATGCATTGTGGCAGCATCACCGCATTGATGAGTCAGTTGTTTTATTTAGCCCTGATGGTTTCCTTTGAAAGAAGACATAGTTTCCAGTATGAGAGGTCTGGATTATAGTCTGTCTAATTAGTTCCTCTGTCCAAATCTCTGCCACTCTACTCAAAACTTTTTTGCAGAATGCTCCATAAATTGATCTTAATCCTCCACTCAGACCAGCTGGTTGTGACTGACTCTGAAAGATTGAAGCATTAATGAAAAATAAAATGTAATGCTAATCCTCTCTCATCATCACTCCTGTAGCCATTTGTATGTATTTTTTTACATATGTTTTAAGCAATTTATTGTTAGTTTAAGTTAGTTGTGTATAATCACTGCGATTCGCTAGCATTAATTTCCACACCTTTCTGTGAAGAGTACACTCCTTCTCTTAGGGGAAACTGTACATTTGTTACACACCAGTAGAGAAGATTCAGTTGCAGCATTTGCATGAATTTGTATGTGTACCAAGAAACACGAGCCACTGAAAGGCCAAAAAGTGTTCTTGCAGAATGAATCTCCACTTGACAGACAGACCCAAGTTCTTTGCGGTCATTTGTCAAAGACAGAAGTGCATAATTTCAACTTCTCTCCTCTTTCTGACCATAATCACTGTACATTAGATGAAGTAAGTCAGATTTCATCTGGGAAACTCAGCAAATGCCATCATCAGGATGCTTCTTGACAGCAGAGAATAGCCAGACTCCATAGACGATGTCAGAAAATGGGTGAGAATGTGTAAACAGGAAAGGGGAGCTGAATTAATGTGCCTTTTAGGCTAGGTAAAGGATAGGAAATGCACTTTGGATTTAATCAGTTCTTCTCTGCTCCACCACAGATAGCTGTTGCATCACGCTAAGTTGCTGCTTTCAAAGGTCACCCATGCAGTAAAACTGCCAGATTAAATGAAAGATAAACATTTACTTAGCTTAGCAAGATCTCTGCACATGCAGGCACTGGGAGCCAAGTGTTCCAAGTATCGGACCATGATGGCTTTAGTGTTTTGATTGCACTGTATCCGTGGTTAGTGTTATATTTAAATGATATGTCTGGAATAGCCCCTTGTTTAATTACATCCATCAATCTGATGTGTTAATTGCTGTCTTTGAGGCTATTGATTTTACCCATAGGTTCTCAAATTAGTGATCTCAGCTTTAGAAATGTGATGGTTTGAGTGCAGTTTGCCAAAGCAGAACTGATCGCCTTGTGCTATTCATGTCTCTGATCATCGCTGTCCTGTTTGAATTAGGACAAAAAAGTAAGGAGTGAAGTAAGAAGTGACAAAAAAGAAGGTACAAGATGTGTTTTGATGGCAACAGTGTTTTGCCTACTATCGGCAAATGACTTATGATTCAGAAAAACGTATGATGTCTCTTCATTAAGCAGTTTTCGAAGTTGTGGGGATGTGCTTTTATGACGTTTCACATCAAATGGAAAGACTCCTCACTGCTCTGCTGAGGGGCTTTTCTGCAGTAATTAAAGAAGCACTGGGGGTCGGCTAACTCTGATCAGTTCTCATCCTCGTTACAGGCTTAGTGCCCTAAAGCCATCAGCAAATTACACTCCACAGCTTAGTGAGGCTATGCTTTGTGCTTCTTTTCATTAGGACGGGTGAAATTCAGGCAGTATCTCTTTAATTTGCTTTAGATTCAGTGAGGATAGTAAAGCAGTATGCTCCCAGATCTTGCTAGGATTTGCCCAGAAACTGTGGGTTAGTGGGTAGAAAGTACTGTTGGATGATAATAAAGTATTTAGACCATTTTGGAAAAAGCTATGAACCCTAAGGCTCCAGACCTGTGTTAGTTTAAGTCACCTCCAGTTCTGTGCAGCTGGATCGTTTAGAGTCACCAGGTGCAACAAGCCTGAGGATCTGAGGTGGTCGTCCACTGGCTGAGGGGCATGTGAGACCACACTGGTGAACACACTTCCTGTTTTTACAAGCGCCATTGTAATAACAGAGGTGAAGCGCAGTGGAGGTACTTGGTGGTCTGCTTCTGTTTGCCACACCTGAATGCTCTCACCAGAGGTGGGACATTTACAAATCACTGATGCAATGAAGTCAGCGAGTGCCTGATATATGTTGGTGGTCGATATGCAGTTGTGTGCAAAAGTTCAGGCAACCCTGGTTAATTTACTGTTTGTAGATTTTAAGTGAAAATAAGTACATATCCCCTACAGAGAGAACACGTCTGCATATTTCAGTGCACCTTTACTGTTTATATGCTTAATTTAACATACTGGCAAAAAACAGAAAATGTAGCCTGTGCAAATGTTATGGTACTTTTTATTTTGATTTATTCTTCCCATTATGTTAGACTCAGCAAACAAATAGAAACTGTATACTAAAATTAACATAAACATGCCATAATTAATTTTGTTTCCTGTAGAGGATCAATCAAAAAACATGCACTCAGAACAAAAATTGATCAAAACGTGCAAGTTGACTGCGAGTATTCAGGCCTTTGCTTATGACTGTATTATATACCAGTTATTGATACAGTGATTATCCTGTAATGGAATTAAAACTGGTGATTATAACTGATAATTTTGCTTGTTACTTTTAGCTCTTATATGCCTTGACACACAGAGTCCCTAGTGCTGGGCATTTCCATTTGCTTTTTTCCTGCTCCAATGATTAGCACTGTGGATAGTAGCATTCTTGACTGGGACTTAATTCCTCATGCAGGCAGGAATACCACAGATAGACAAAACCTACAAAAGTCACATTTGCCTACCATTAAAAGTGACTTTGGATGACAGCATCTGCTTAGTAATGAAAAATAATTACATAAAGTA